AGTATTGATGGAGTGCTTTGAGTGTAATGCTGTTATCGGATTCAATTTCCAACCAAGTTAATGTGTTGTTTCTCGAGTGATCTGTAGGGAGATTAGGTCCAGGTGGTAAGCAGCAGAGCTAATTGTTGATAATTAGTATTATATTTAAGCTGCACTGTTTGTCTCTGTACAGGCAACGGAGGTCCGCAGTGTCAGGGGCCATGTCCAGGGTGCTGTGGAGGTTCCTACAGCTGTGACCTCCCAGCCTGACTCCTCAGGCTCTCCTGCTGCTCTGGCCAAGTCAGCCTGGGTGCAAATCTTCGCAACATCACACTCCCACACTTCCAGAAGGGAGACTCACGCGGTTTCTAGAGGGTGCAGGTTATGCGCCTCTATCTGGTCCATGTCTCTGGGACTTCCTGCTGTTCTCTAGCCTGTGCACTGTTTATTTTGGGCTTCAAGGTTTTGGCATCCACCCAAAGCTAGAAGAGGATGCTAATGGCTCTGAGTGGCACCAGGTGTTTTGTGCATCCACAGGGATTAGCAGCTCCCTCGAGGCAGAGATCAGATGTCTGTGTGATGTCCCTGAACTGCAGAGAGAAGGGCAGCAGAGCAAAGTGCCAAGCCTCAGACTGGGTCACTGCCTCGGGGAGAATGGAACCAGCGCTGTCTGTCAGGAGGGGCATTGCCTGTGTGCAAATATGGAAGAAAAGGAGTTTCTGGCTTGCAGATACCACCTGTTTACAGTTGATAGCAGAGGAGAGGGAAGGGGAGTACAGTGTGTGTGTGTGTGGACAGATGGACAGACACACACACACTCTGAACTGGTTGCTGTTTTTCTAAACATGCGAATAGCTGGAATGCATCTCTAGAGTTCAGAATGTACTTAGCGTGAGCTAATGCTCTGTTTATTCTTAACCCTGGATGAGGCCCTGCTTAGAACCACGTCTCCTGCTAGGCTTCCATAGGACAGATGGATAGGTCTGGGGAGGGTGCAGAGAGGCACTGCTCAGCAGAAATACACCAAGACCCACACCTGCAGCTTCAAAGTTGCTGGTAGTCACAGCATGCAGGACAGGCGGGGTTGATTTTAAGGCTATAATTTCATTTAACTAAATAGATATGAAAATGATTGAGATACTTTGCATTCTTTACTCTGTCCTAGCTTTTGAAGACTAGTCTGTTTTTCTACTTCATACTGATTGTTGGCAGTACCTGGTAGCCATGTGTGACTTTTGGCCACTGTGGTGGATGGCCCAAATTCAGAGGAACAGTTCCATAAGGGAGCTTAAAATGTCATGACAAGTAAAAGAAACTGGTAATTGTATCTTGGTACCAAAAAGAAAGTCTATGCATAGTTCAGAGAAAAATCCATGAACTTTTTGGAGGTTTTCCCTCATGAAGCTATATAAAGGTTACAAATGGGTACAGGGAAAGAAAACACATGTTTAGAGGATTTAAAAAAAAAAATCAGAGGGTGAATAGGCTTGGAAGTGAAGGGCTGACCTTAAGACCTTGATGGTGGATATTACCAGTTTCCATCTTCACAGGTCCACCCGAACCGTGTTCTTCCCTCCACCCACCTGGTTTGCCTTTTAGCTACGTGAGATACTTCATTGGATTCTAAGTAGGAGTGGGGGTTGAGCCTTTACTGATAGGATAAATGTTTATCTTGCCTTCTTCCTTAGTTTATTCAACCAGCGCTAAATCCCTGCCTCTCAGGAATTGGTTGAAGATTGCACGAATCCAGATGCTGAGGCTGTGGTCATGATGATGATCTTCCATTTTGGGTTTTCCCTGGAACAAGTGCTAGTGAAGCATCGGCATCTCTTCCAGCCCTGTGACCCCTTGTGTTAACCATTGGATGCTGTGTGTTACTGCGCACCATGCCTTTTACGGGAGACGCATTTGAACAGTTAATATAAAAACGATTCCGCAGGACAAATTATAGTGTCTGTTTCCAAAGGAAGTAGAATTTGGGTATTGTTCTTACAGTCACATCAGCTGTGCCATTGTGACCCAAGAGGGAGATGATTCGTGGAGATTGGACTGTAGGATTTGCCAGGCTGTGCAAGTCAGCAGACTCCTGAAATTTACGAAAGTCAGATGAGATGATGGGGCTACACATGTTCACAAAAATATTGATCAGGTCCTTCTTACTGCATTTGATTTACTGATCCCAGCACTCTAGGGATTAAGTTGGCAGAAGAATACTGGGGAGCTTCTGCAAGGTTTGGGGATTGTTGTCAACCCCTCTTTGTATGGCATTTAATGTGAGATCATTATTCTGTCGTTCGGAGTTTGGAACTATCATAGGTTGGTTTTTGAGAATTTTTTTTCTTTTGTGAGATGTGGCTCAAACCAGTTCTTGGCACCCTGTAGCCAAATAATCTTGGTGTAAGATAAGTATGGTCTTCTATAAGCCAGCAGGTTGGCACCATCAAAGAGAAATGCAGGTGTTCCTGGTATGCATCCACATTCGGACAGTCTCAGGTGACGCCTTCATACTTCAGATTTAAGAAGCACTGATGATATTTTATAGAATCCCAACTAGTAATCATCCCAGCAGCTTCCACTGCACTTCCTCCTGAGGCAGCCACACTGTTGTCAGACAGCTCTCACTTTCAGAAAGCATTCTGTTTTCAAGTCAAAATCTGCCTACTGCTGTTACCCATTCAAATTGCCCTGGATCAGTTTTCTTTCAGCTGCAAACTAGGCACTTAGAAACGTGTATTTTTCCCCCTTCCTTCTATAGAAGCCTTGATCCAGAGGCTGGGTATGGATGGTGAATAGAGTCACACAACTTGGGCTCCTGGGCACCAGACGAAGGCTTGCAGGTGCTGGGACATTACAGCAAGAGCACGCAGTGTCCCCTTTAGTGCTGTCTCTTAATTCCTGCCAGAGGCCAAGGGGCTGATTTGAGGGATTACACCTTGCAAGGGAATTCAGAGAATTTTTAAAGAGCCTCTCAAAAAGACAAGCGTATAGAAGTAGTCCCTGCAGTTAACATTGGTCCTGCAGGGCGTGCAAAAGGATGAGATATTGACAACAGAGGTGAGCAGGAGAGAGGTGAGAGGGCGTGGAATGACCAACCATACTGCTTCACAGGGTGATTTTGCAGAAGGTGCTAAACTGTCCTTGAGCTTCGGCTCCCTACACTGACGACGAAAACAGGGTGATAAGGCCTGTCCTGTGTGTGTGTAGGAATCATTGGCAGTTGTGCCAGTGAGCACACTTGATAGGATGGGAGACAGTCAATGAAACCAAGGGACAAGGCTACCTCTGTCTCCCCGTGTGACCTCAGGGACTCCTAAGTGAGCTAGATGGATCATACGGAAAAGATTTGAAAGTGCCCTTCCAGAAGGTCTTGGAGTTACTGAAGTCTGTTGCTATTATTGCATAGGACCTGGAGTACTTCTCCATGGTTGGCTCTTTCAGTAGGGCTTGGAATGGAATCCTGTCTGGGAAAAATTTCAGACACTCTCCCAGAGAAGGCCTGGCCTCTACCGCAGAAGGCCTTTTGACAGGCAGATCTACTTGGCCATAAGTGCATCTGTTTCTGTATCAGCACGTAGTTGCTGGACTGGTGAGTGATGGGCAAGTTTTCCTTCCTACCACTGAGAGCTTACTTCTGGAAGTCAGCTCTGCTCTGAGAACCATTCTGAACTTGCCTACTGCCTCACTGAATATGGCTTGGGTGGATTTTTCCAAGGGAATGATCTTGTTTGTTGCTTCAGATATTATCAGAGTTTTCCAAAAGTTATTCTAGTTTTCAGCTGTTACAAATACTAAAATATGGCAGACCTGATAGGTGTATGAGACTGCTCCGACCAAGGCTCCTATTCAACAAACAACTGAAACTGGCTTTGGGGTCAACAGCCCTCATCTAGACTCTTGCCAGCTGAGAGTGAGGGGCCAATGTGGGTGTGACTTACAGAGAGCCATGTCTGTTCTTTTAAGGCAACCCTTGTGTGTGTCTCTCCTGCCCACACAGGGGCCTGTGTTATCCATTCTCACCCCACTGCATCCATGCTTCTAACTTCCCATTCCATTGCTTAGAGGCTCGCTTCTGACTGCTCACTGGTGTTTCCAGCTGTGCACCCTCTGTGCTGTTGTGGAAACTCCATGGCCCTGGGCCGTGAGTATCTGGTGTCCTCTGAGTGTGGTGGTGTGGTACGTGTATTTGCTCACGTTTTTGTTCTGAATCCTTTCCAATGTGACATCTGCTAAAATGTCTCCCTTATAATTTGCTTGGTGATCACAGCCTTCTCATCATTCATTGAGAGCAGGACCTGATCTCACAGAATCTGAAAAGAGCTATGTGGTAAGATGCCTGTTGCATAAGAACGTGGCTTTCCCAAAGACAATCCTCACTGCCTTCCGGAGCCAAGACTAGAGTAATACCTGGGTCACTGGAGCCCTCTGTGGCTGTTGTGACAAAGTGAGAAGCTAAGCCACTGCTTCCCGATCAAAGAAAGCAGAGGGGTTTAGAAACAAAACCTCCACTCTGCCTTCATGGGGGATTGAAGTGATAGTGCATGACTGGGGGTATGTACCTGCATTTCTAGCCTGAGAATATCTCACTAGTAACAGTTACTCACTAATTACAGGCTTTTATGCTGCTGCTTAAAAAAAAAAAATCAAACTAAATCCCAAATTCTTCTGTATCTCACCTGTTTTTCCATGCTTACGCCTGGATCCCTCCTGCAATCCACTCCTGGAATATCCATTTTTTTTTTAACTTGGATCTTCAACTCTATTTTTTTCCATGGACTTGTGTGCTTCGTCTGGAATGTCACATCTCTTCCTCTCTTTCTTTTTTTTTTTTTTTTTGTCCCCACATTGACTGTTTTATGGGGGTTTCTGGATATCTTGGGGCCACCTCCCAGGAAGCAGTTTGCAATGAGATCATAAACATTGCTGAAAAATCTGTTCATTACTGCAGCACTATCTCTCATCCCCTTGACTTTCATCACAAGCTATCCCCTTCTGACAATAAACCATCTTTCATCATTTCTCAGCAACCTCAAGCCCAGCAACGAAGAGTCACTCCAGACAGGAGTCAAACCCCACAAGAATCGTAAGTACACCTGGCAAACATCACACGCATGTCCCTGGGAGAGTGCTGGCCTTGCCAAGCTGGTTTGGACTACCTGTGAGGGCTGCAATTAGGGGAATGAGGAGGCTAACTACTCCCCATTTTTCTAAGAAGTTCTAGTTAAGGATGCATTTCCCATCAGCCAATAAAACAGGCGACAGGTTAATCCAGGAAATAGCAGAATACTGGGAGAAACAGGTAAAGAGTTCACTGGCATACAGGTTGAAATAGGAGCTGAGTGATTGGTTACACCCTTAGTTAAAGGATAATAGAAAGCAGAGATCCATTTATTCTGATCAGAATGAACAGGATTTATTCCTTCCTACATTTGAAAAAAAGGCTGTTGGCTACCTCCTATGTTTTAAGAACAAAATAGAAAACTCTGCTAACAGAGGAATAGGGGTTTGGATGAGACATGAACAGACATGACATCTGTTTTTAAATGTTTGTTATGTAAATGAAAAACAGCTACGGAGGGAGGGAGGGAAAGAGTGCGTACCAGGAGCCTGGAGCTCCAAGCATTTGGACTGTCTTCCTCTACTTTTCTATGAGCATTAGCAGGGAGCTGGATTGGAAGTGGAGCGACTAGGAAGTGGAGTGACTGGTGCCAATATGGGATACTAATGTTGTAGGTTTTGGCTTAAACTACTACTGTGCCAAGGGCCCAGTGCAGTGGCCTAGCCGCTAGAGTCCTCGCCTTGAGTGCACTGGGATCCCATATGGGTGCTAGTTCTGGTCCCAGGAGCCCTGCTTCCCATCCAGCTCCCTGCTGGGGTTTGGGAAGGCAGTTGAGGATAGCCTGGGGCCTTGGGACCCTGTACCCATGTAGGAGACATGGAGGAGACTCCTGGCTCCTGGCTTCGGATCGGCTCAGCTCCAGCCGTTTTGGTAACTTGGGGAGTGAATCATCAGATGGAAGATCTTCCTCTCTGTCTCCTGCTCTCAATATCTGACTTTGCAATTAAGATAAATAAATCTTTAAAAAAAAAACTGCTGTGCCACAGCATGGATCCTCACAAATTGCATTTTGATAGCTAGAATGACAAGGCCTCCACAGGCTTGCCTGTGTAAAGCATGCTGGGTACAGCCTTGGAGAACTTGAAAAACATCGGTTGGGGTCCCAACATTGGATTCCTGGAGGAGATAGAGGCAAAGCTCAAGTGTTGGATGGCACCAGATGGTAGACTCTAGAATGAGGATAAAATATAGTTGAAATATATAATGAAGTCGATCTATATTCCCCAAGCAGTAGGGAGTGAGTGAAGGCTTTTGATCATATTTTGTTTTAGCTTGATTGTTCTGGGAAAGAGTGAAAGTGGATTTTAGAGACAAAGGACAGAGCTGTTGGTTGGAAGATGTTAATCTAGCAGAGAAGTGATAAGGGCCTAAGCCAGGACAGAGTGGGTGTTTTTTAGCCATGAAAGTGATCAGTGATGGAGATAAAGGGCAAGGAGCCATAGACAGCATGGAGGAGTGAGAAGGAGCGACAGGAGCTGCAGGTGTGGCTGCAGGCACATTTGCTTTCCTGGAGCAGGCAGCATCTGGTGAGCAGAGGCCACAGCCAGTAAATGAGAAATGTCAATCTATTTGGGACTTTTCTTTGGCAATTGGAAAAGAAAATCAGTGGGGACCACTGAAAGAGCATGTGTGTGCAGAGGTGATAGCAGATCTCGTTAGCTGCAGTTGAGGAGTAAGCTTGACAGCAAATGGATGGAGGCTGTGGCTGTGGGTCCAGGAGTGGCAGTGGCAGGGACAAGGGTGAATATTTGTAGTGCAGAGATTCAAGCACTAGAAGAGGAAGTGACAGCATTGAGAAATGCAAGTGAAAAGAAATAAGGGAAGGAGAAGCCCAGGGAGTAGCCAGCAGTAGGCGTTCTTCTTTACCTCTGTGAACAGGCAGGAAGGTGAGTAGATGCAGAGCCTTAAATATAAACAAGGCAATTCAAGTGCAGTCCACAGTGAACATCTGGCTCAGGAAGTGGGGACAAAGGGGAAGTATGGTGCCAGCACTGACGAGTGTAGGTTTTTGGAAGGGTCTCGTGGGGATGGTATCCTGAGCTGTGTGAGATCTGTCCAAAAGTAAACCCGTGTGGCAAGGGTGCAGGACTTTGTCCAGGCAAGCCCCACTACCAGAGACAGGTACTGGGAGGTATTTCCTCGAGCTGTGGCTGGCGCGGTAGCCGTGGTGGAAGTTCTGGGGACAAGGCAGTCTACGATGGTAGCAAGGGCTTAGGTTGGACAGCCCCATGTAGGACTGGATAGCACACATAGCAGGCAGATGCAGAAACATGAAAGAATGTTTTTATTCCCAACTCTTAAGTCCAGTTGCACTGACATTTATTGAAAACAAAAGATGTTTGGCTGCTTTCCAAACTTTTGTTTGTTACTATTTTGTTCCAAATTATGGGTAAACAGTTCTGAAGTTATGCAGGATAGGTGAAGGAATAAACAAAAAAACAAAGCTTTTCCTTGATACCAAAACAGCGATCAGATTTCAGCAGCACAGCAGCTGTTGTTCGAACAGACAGAAGCGCCCAGGCTAGATGCTTTAGCCAACTTATAAATAAACAGGAATCTTAACCTTCACATTACTGAGACAGAAAAAGAGCAAACTGCTTTCAGGAGTTTGAAAAAATGACATCAGCCTTTAGAAGCAGTTAATAAACTGTATTTAGGCATGTAAGGAAAGGCAAGGTAGTTTTGTTTTTTTTTAAAGGTTTATTTTTATTGGAAAGTCAGAAAGGAAGAGAGGAGGAGAGACAGAGAGGAAGATCTTCCATCCGATGATTCACTTCCTAAGTGGCCGCAACGGCCAGAGCTCTGCCAATCTGAAGCCAGGAGCCTCTTCTGAGTCTCCCATGTGGGTGCAGGATCCCAAGGCTTTGGGCTGTCCTCGACTGTTTTGCCAGGCCACAAGCAGGGAGCGGGATGGGAAGTTGGGCTGCTGGGACTAGAACCGGTGCCCATATGGGATCTTCGTGTGTGCAAGGTGAGGACTTTAGCCAACGACTAGGCTACTGCACCAGGCTCAAGACAAGGTAGTTTTGTTGAACACTGAAGCCGTGGGCATTTGCTTCCTTATTCCTTTATCTCTGTATGTTTTTATTTAATTTCTTTTTACAGTTGCCTGATGTACTCCAATGTGTGTAACTACATGTTAGACTCTCTAGGTTTAAATAATTTGTTGTCTTCAATAATCTACATATATTGTCCTGCATTGAGAAAAACAGTTTACCTAACAGACAGGGGATGGTGGGGCAGTACTTTAGACATAACAGCTTGTCCTTGACAATCAAATGAAGGCGTTCCCCATTCCTGTCAAGTCTAAGTGAACTTGAGTGTGGCCCTGCAGATGCTGTGTGAGAGTATCAGCCAGTGACATACTTATTTCCACTGTAGAGTGGGAAACACTGCTAAACTGGTGTCTTAAAGGAAATAGCATTTGGAAACTCGTGAGTCACCGTTCCATTTTTGTCTTTTGTAGATTTAGCTACCAAGCATTATATAGCTATATACCACAGAATGATGATGAGTTGGAACTCCGTGATGGAGATATCGTTGATGTCATGGAAAAATGTGACGACGGCTGGTTTGTTGGTAAGAACCCCATATGTTCTTTTTTTTTTTTAAATATATTGTTATTTTGAATTCTGAATTATGTGGTACAATTTCGCATAGACTGGGATTCCCCACAAACTCCCACCCCCTGCAGATTTTCCCTATTTTACTACAATAGTGTAATCCTTCATAAAGAATCATAATTCCATTAGTCTCTTATTTAAGTGTACCCTGACATTGTTGGTACAGACTATGTCAGGCAGTCCAGCATCCCATTGTCTACACATGTCCAACAGTTTCATTGGGAATCTCTGTTTTGCCTGGAAGTAGGGATGCATGTTCCATTATACCCCACATCTGTATATGATAGATCCCTGTATTCCATAATTGAGAAGCCATGAAACCAGGTCAACAACTGGTATGAGTTAGAACAGCCACAACAACAACAATAACAAATTACATCACCGTGGAAAAAATGCGCCACTGAGTAACCAATACATGAGTGACAAAAAGGAAACACAAAAGTCTTTTGGGAAAAATAATGTCACCGTGTAATCCATGAGCCAGTGATGAATTTGACAAGAGAAAGGGAATTATTTGGAGTAAACAAAACTGAGATAAAAAAATGTCAAAACACATGGGAGAATCCCATGCGTTCTTTATATTAGCTGTGCACTGAAAGAATTCTAGGAGTGATAAGCCACACGAGAAGCAGATCTGCTTAGTCCAGAGCTGGCTCCTGGGCCCAAGCAGGATTGCTGAGCTACTCGGCCTGCTGCCTTCACTCTTCAGATGGGGGCTGTGACTGCTCCATGGAAGGGCAAGTGTCAGATCCACTCATTGGGTTTTCATTTATATTTCATGTTACACAGTATCCATGTAAGTGGGGGCATTTTACTTCTGAAGCTCTAGGGTACAGCACATGAAAAATGTGACAAAGCCTGGGTCTCTACTATGCAACTCAAACATGGGGTGGATATGCCAAAGACATTCTTACTCACTCCAAGTTGCTAATAACTTCAACCAAAGCTGAAACAAAGCCTCCTTAACTCCAACAAAGGATTCAGCTTTATAGGAAGGAGAGGGGAAAGTTAACTTATTGATATTCTGTGACAAGCCAGACACTATGCTTGCTAATCTTATTGAAATTCCCTTAATAAACATAACCACATATGGCAAGATTCTCCTCATTTAACAGGTTGCAAGACTCAGAGTCATAGAGGTAGAGTGACTTCCCAGAGATCACTTAAGTGGTGGATGGGGAAGGCAGGATTTGAACGCGGACTGCTCACCTCCACCACAGCCTGTGTTCTTCATTCTCAGGAGTGAATCATATTGGGTACTCATGCTTTGCCTCAGTTTTTTTGCCCATACAAATGACTTCATGTTCAACTTCTGTCCTGAGAAAGGCTCTTCCCTGATCTCTCTGGAAAAGCTTTATTAAAGCGAAAAAACATCAGGACTGAGTAGTGAGAGTAACAAGGCCTCATTGTTGAGGGGACGCTGGAAAGACTCACCAGTGTCTTAGGAAACCACCCTGTACCTCCACGGTCCCCAGGAGCCCACAGGCCCCACTGCTCTATATATTGCTCTCCAAAAGGAAGGCAGATCCGAGAAGCCAGCCATCACTCTAGGACACTGTGGTTCAACAGAACCTCAGTCCCAGCTGTGTAAGAAATTTAAAACCTTCTAGAAGATACAGTAGAAAAAACCATTTAGAAACCATGGTCGTAAATTCTAGGGTAACTCACAATGTTATCATTCCACCGTGTCGTCACTATACAAGTAATTATTCATCCTCCTTTTCATGTCACATCTTTGAAATCTAGCAGGTAATTTGTTTCAGGTGCCCAGTAGCCATGTGTGGCTATCATGTTAGAGCAGCTCTGGTATGTACTAGCTATTAGGCATTTACAGTTTGTATTGAACTTGAGCTGGAGGAGGTACAACCATTCTCTAGTAGAGGCAAAAGTGGCCTTATAGTCACAGGACAAGGTGCCCGTGAGCATAGGCTAGTTCCTTACTGCTCCAGTGCTCTGCAGCTCTTGCCCATCTTTCATGCTCCGTTTTAGGCATTATTCTCAACCTGCTGGTAGTGGCTCTGTGTGATGTTGTGGCCAACGGGCTTCTTTTATTTCTTTTTTTTTTTTTTTTTTTTTTAAGGGAGAGACGGAAGTCTTCCATCCCCTGGTTTACTTCCCAGATGGGTGCAATGACTAGAGCTGAGCTGGTTCAAAGCTGAGAGCCAGGAGTTTCTTTCTGATCCCCCACATGGGTGCAGAGACTCAATGATTTGGATCAGTCTCCATTGCTTTCCCAAGCACATTAGCACAAAGCTGGATTGGAAGTAGAGTAGTCTAGGCCTCAAACCAGTGCCCATATGGGATGGTGGCGCTTTACTGCTATGCCACAGGACCAGCCCTAGGTCAATAGGATTCTGAAACCAAATCCATGCTACCTGGGAAGAAAAGTTGCTCTGATCAGGTTGTGATGGCTGCTACTGGGAGGATGATAAGGACCCAACATGTGTTAGCCACCCCTTCTGAAGATTCCCAAGGGAAGCAGGCCTGGTTCAGTTGTTGAGAACTGGGGCTCAGTGCTACCATCCCACTAGGGCCTCACCACGATTTGGCAAAGGCCTCTGGGAGGAACTCCCTGGGATAGTCAATCATAGTAGTGAGCCTCTAGAAGTCCTGCAGTCCAGAAAATCCAAGACTTATACTGCATGCAAGGTGTGGATTCCCAAGAGAAGTAATGGAATACACACTGGAGTGAGAGTGGGAAACCCTGGGTTCACACTACACTGTGTCTGATCCTTGCTAAGAGGTAGGACCTCAGATGTGGAATTGTGAGCTCCCTTTGCTTGGGTTTCTTCATCTGAAAGCCTGGAGTACTAGAAATACTTGCCTTTCTTACTACCCTGCATTTTTGTTTTCAGTCCAAGTGAGATAAGATAGGAGAAAGTGCTTTGGGAGCCATGTGCTCTGCTGCAAGCTGCAGATCAAGACCTGCTGAGCAGAGATCTCCAGGACGCACTTCTGGACTCAGATGTACTCATGTTGTGTCTGTGGTTGTTTTGCAGGCACTTCGAGAAGGACAAGGCAGTTTGGTACCTTCCCAGGCAACTATGTGAAACCTTTGTATCTATAAGAAGACTGAAAGCCACAGAAATTATTTTCCTTGGAAGATGAAATCAAAGTCATGACTGGTCTCTTTATTTAAACTTGAGTACAGTGGGAAAATCAATGCAGTGGATGAAGAAACAAAAGTGAGAGACAGAAAAGTGTCTTGTTTAAAATCCATGCTTAAGTTTACTGTGCATCAGACAGGGCTGAACTGTGCTCTGGGCAAAAAGAATTGAGGCAGATCCCGTATTTTCATACCTGCTTCTGGGAGCCACTCCAGCCTTTACCTCCCACCCACCTCCTGCGTAATCTGAGTGGAGTAGAGTGCAATTAGCCAGAAATGCCTCCTCCTGCTAACATGGCCTTAACTGGCTCCCTTGTCAGAGTCCTTGAGCCTGAAGCAAGCCCCAGAGCAGGAGGCAGAAAAATCCCAAGCCATTTTCCAAATGCTCCAAGCCTGAGTATCTACCTGTTCCCTCATCCCTTGGATGTCCTGGAGCCAGCTGATCCCTCATGCTTATGTCTGGGCTGTCAAGGCAGTCCCCAGACCACAGTAGGGGCCCCAAGTTTGTACCACATTTAGTCCCTCTTTGGACCTGCTGGGGCTTCCATAGGGAGATAGAGGCAGGATATAGGCGGCCTTTGCCTTCAGCTTGCTGTGCTCCATGGCCACTGACAGCCCTACTGCTCAAAGAAGCCCACGACAGTTGCCCCTGGGACCTGAGGTGTAGGTGGCCAGGCAAACAGGTTACATTACAGTTTTCAAGCTTTCAAGTTGAGGAGTCCTGCAGCTCTCCAGGTCCCGGGAGGTGCATTCCTTTTTTCTGTCACTAGTTTCTCAAAACAGTGGTCTTCCAGATAGTATGGCTGTGGTCATCAGAGCACCATCTCTTTTCTGGCTGAGACCATTTGGGATTGGGAGGCCCATTGTTCTAGAAAATCCAGAATGAGGTTCAGCGATTCATTTAATGTGCACATGTACGCTGGCTGCATAGCACACTTGTGAACAAGACGTGCTCCAGGCTGACAGAGCACTTGCCACATCTCTGGTTTACCATCTGCCCCACCTCCCGTAGGAATTCAGAGACAACTCCAGTGCAGTGTTCAGGGTTGTGAGTCCTAAAGCACCCCAGTGTGGCTTCTTTCAGGAGTGCAGGCATTGTCACAGTGGCCCTGGGTGTGAAGCAGGAATTCTCTGTTTGCCATGGGGGCTGGGTCCCAGGAAAGAGGCCCTTGTGACACCTGAGGATCTTAGTTGCAGCCCTGACCGCCTGTGAGATGTTCATCAGCCTCTGCTAGCTCCCTTAGTGAGTCACTGCGAGTTCCACGCCTTGCCCACCAAGAAGTCGGTGATTAGAGAGATAAAGAACAGAACCAAGAGGGACCGTGCTACGTGCTCAGAAGGGTGTGAGAGAGAAGAGGTGGATTTTCTCTGGAGGGATCCTTGAAAGCCTTGTATTTCTGTCTCCATTTGTTCACTCTGAATAATTAGGATGCTGGAAGAACCTTTGTCTGAGAGTAGTTTGTTGTTGGAAATACTTGAAAGTTTTTCCTAAGTCTCCAAACTCACATTCTCCCTATGGAGACATAGTGAGTGAGTAGCCATTCTAGGTGATGGGAATATGTTCCAGAAGCACCAGCTGCACACACGTAGTTCTGGATTGCCCCAGCACTGCTGTCCCACAGTCTGAACACTTTGTGTTCAGTGCCTCTGGCTTAACCACTGTCTCAAATACCCATTTTAGGACCCCAGCTGCTCCCCTTCCCTGTAGCCACAGTAACCTCACTTTGTTTCTCTTTACCCTTCTTTCAAATTCTGCTGGCCACTGATTGGTTCACACTAAAGTGTAAATGGCTGATAAAAACAATGTGTTACCTCTTTCTGGAGACAGGGCGGAGCCTTAGTCCCAATGGGGAAAGGTTGTGTCTCTGAGGGGGTAGTGTGTGGGCACATCTCTGGGTAGGATGCAGTGACACAGGCCTCTTACTTTGGAAGGTCTATTCTACCACCCAGAAAGACTGTTTTGTGACTCCTCTTTCCATGGGGATGTAAAATGCACGTGCACCTGTGCTGTGCACAGTGGCCTTTCTGACACATCTGGGAACGTGATGCTTGTATCATCAAATGTTTCCTGGCCCTTCTTAGATGCAAACCATTTATAACACAACCTTACCGGTTTTTTGAGGGGTGCTTCTTCGTTAAGTAGGTAATTTTGAACACCTCTTTAAATACAGCTAGAAAATGAAACCAATTTGTAAAGCCACATTTGCATATGATGCCAGCCTCATGCATTTGTATATCTTCTGGAGTCTAGATCTGCCTCACTGATTGGCCCTTCTTTAATAAAATCCTCCGTTAAGTTTGCATCACTTCAGCTTCCTATGCGTGACAAAACAAGGAACAGAGGTTTCCAATTGCTCTTTTGTCTTCAGACATTTAGTAATATAAAGTACCTATTTTTATGCTGAAATGTTTATACAGGTTTAATAATAGCAAGTGCAACTAACTGGCGCCTGCCTTGCAACATGTTTTGATATATTAGCCATGCTTCCTGGTAAGGCAAGCCCCAAATTACTTATCTTTTGCAGTCTCTCTGGGATCAGTGAAAGAAAAAAAAAATCATGTGTTTTAAGAAATGGGACTGTAAATATGTATATTGAACTTTGTATAGCCCATGTACCTACCTTGTATAGAAAAATTTTAAAAATTTGAACAGAAGGGGGCAAGACAAGGAAATCATGAAGGGTTTTTTGCATTTTTATTTAAATGAAGGAATTAAAATAACTTACCTGCAAATTTTTAGCACAAAAGTAGCCATTGTAAAGTTAAAGTTTACAATAAGCATTCTTTTGGGGTAGCTGTATTTGCAGTTACAAGAAGGCTTCTCTAAATTTTCTGGTTTTTTGTTTGTTTCTTTTTTTCTTTCTTTCCTTCTTTCTTTCTTTTTGCAATCCTATTTATCTGCAGTAGTATTAAGTTATATCACTAGAATAGGTTACTATGAGATTATATTCTGAAAGAAAGATAACTGACATTAATTACCAATTAATTTAAACTATTGCCATTTAAATTATACACTGAGAGCATGTACTATGCGAACACAAATTTTTTCTGTTCATTTATTTTTCTTATTGCAGTGCATTGATTTGATAAATAGATGTGTTGGATTCTGACATTTGCTGTACATACTATTTAATAAACTCTGCTGAATTGCGTGGCAAATGTTTGTCCTTGCCATTCCATGTGCCTTCCCTTGCCAGTCTTCTCCCGTGAGGCTGGTGTTCACTGCCTCGGTTTTTCACCCTCTCCTCCCCACGCCTCATCACTCCAAATCTGGCTGCCACTTCCTCCTTGAAGACCAAGGTCCAAAAGAGGGGACCCACTTCCTGGTGAGTTCCAAAAAGCACACAAGAAGGAGGGGCTGTGCAAGAAATTCACCAGCAGATAATAAGGAAGGGAGACTGCAGGAATGATTTCCGAAGCCAGTAGGGGCAAGGATGTCTTTCATTTGAGGGAGAATTGAGTCGGTAAGAGGGGAAGGTTTTATCTACCCTTGTAGGGGTGGGTATATATATTTAAGAGGTGCCATCATGAGTGCCAGCCAGCATGAGTCAACATGGGCTTATGATTAGGCTTAAGCTCCTCATTGGGTGGAGATTCCAGTATTAAAATGAAGTGAAAGGCGACCGTTGGATACCTTTTGACCCAGCTGCACAGGTGTCTCTCTTGCAGCCAGGTCTACCAGGCCAGCATGACCCGGGCTTGCATCTCTGCTTGGAATGTGACTGAAAACCTGAAAGACAGCTTTGGAGAACATCAGGTGCTTTCAAGGTCTTGAAATGAGTCACAGTGAAGCCTGGAACTGCTCTGGGCATTAGCCAATAACAAAATCACACTTTAGCTTTTTTTGCTCAGTAACCTAACTTCCGGACCCTCTCAAAGTTAACTGATGTCTCCATGGTCCATCTGTTATGCCATCTCACCATTGTATTTGAAATCTGTTATTTGTTGTGATACTCCAAGCCAGGCTCATATGTCTCCAGAAACAAGAAATGAAACCCCATAAAATGTGTGTAGTGGGTCTTGACAGGGACTGCTAAGTGTGAACATAGGAACTGACACAGCACCTAGTTTTTTCTAAACCTAATTAGCTCTAGTTGGCAATTTCTCTTGAAAATGCAGTGTGTCCTCTATTTCCTCCAAAACAAGAGTGAGGAGGCCCCAGAGCATCCAGTCTTCCCTGGCATCCTATGCCCTTGACCACTCCATCAGGGTCTACTGTGAATGGGGCAGGGATCCATTCCCTAACTGAAAACCCCAAATCTCCACTCTCCTTTTGTTCTTTCCAGCACTGCTTTGCAATTCTGGAGTAACTGGAGACTTTGGCCTCCCAGATGCTTAGAGGTTGTTTTCCAGGGGTCTAACAGTTTTAATTTTGGACAGTGAATTACAGATGCGACTCTCCTGTCTCTTGTGCCTTCCATCTTCCTTCATACCCATCTCACGCAGAGTGGTACAATGGCCTCAAATCCACGCTGGGAGCCTGCTGTCCTTCCCTCTCCTTTAGCTATGACTTCATCTGCTACATTCATTTTGTTCCTTCTCACCCCTGATTTTCCCTGTGGTCTCAGAGTCCAAGCCTGTTTAGGGCTTCAGGGCTTGAAAACCCTTTCTTTCCTCCAAGCACAGCAAAGCTTGCTTTCTCCCATCCTTTGAGCTTTTTGTTGCCTTCTCAGGCTTTCTCTGACCACTCTCTGTATCCTAGAGCCCTATGTTCCCCCCTGTCAGTAGTCTGTCTCCCTTCTCTGTGTCTGACTGTACACTTTTCACCATGTGGTACTTAATTCATAGACCGTCCTGTAAGACCTGTGAGTGTAGTGAATTGTAGTGATTGTGTGTTGTTGTTGAATGCCCAGTGCCAAGATGAGTGCCTAACATCACCCTCCGTTCTTTGTTGATCTAACAGAAGAGTAAATTGTCCTAGGGAACAGAGCTAATTTCAAATTATGCTGTGCTCTTACAAAGAGAAAGCGAAAGTTGCCTGTTCGCTGCAGAAAACTGTCTCCGAGCCTGCTGCTATGCCCACACTAAACGCAGGCTCTATATGAGTGCCTTACATAGGCTTAAGACATTTTTACTTAATAGGACCCGGGCATTTTTCCAACATTTATTTAACCACTTCCCTATTGATGCAAATATTTGAAATTATTGCAGGCTTTTAATCATAACAGACAGTGCTTCCTGGAGTAAAATTATTGACAAAAAGGGCAGGAACCTTTCAGTTGCACTGGCAAATTTTCCTTTCCCCCTTGTCTCAATTTACACTCCTTCCAAGACCATTGGTGTGTTCCCCACTTCCCAGTTAAAGCTTACCGGCTTCTGTGCAGTGCTGCTTGGTTCATCTGCCTTTGGCTGGCAAGTCTCAGTTCTCTTTCTAAGGTCTGCTACAGCCGCAGCCTTCTGTTATTTCCTCTTAGCACATGTGTTTTTCAGGGGGCAGATCCCTATAGTCGTGGCAGGAAGATCTAACTGTGTGAGAGGGCTACTTCAGTAATGAAGTAGCAGAAATCTAAGGCTATTGGCACTTGTTGAGACACACCAAGAAGAGCTGGCACTAAGCTCGGGCAGGAGTGAATCTAGAGACTCAAACTTCCTCCACTTATTTGTCTGAATTTTGGCTGTGCAGGTTGTGTGGCTGCATTTTTACCCTCTGAGTGAGGAATGGAAGGCATGGCTGCAGGCATTTGAGCCAAAGGGGCCCTCCTATTTGGCTTTCTTGGAAAACAGTGTCAGACCCCAGCAGGCTCAACCTCGACAGTTACGTTTCTCTGGACTAACCACTGGGGCCAGAGGGGTGGAATATGATGAACAGCTCCACCAAAACCTTGTGGGATGGGGAAAAAGATGTGGGGAGGAGAGGTACTGCTGTAGGAACAGAAGGAAGCTGGACAGATGACAGCTCCATGGGTCACTGACTTGGGAGAGTTACTGTAAGCTGGAACGTTCTCGTCCTGATGTAGCTGAATGCAGCTATGTGCTGAACCTCTGCTAGTTGACATCGTGAGATGCAATCAATGGAGGAAGACTGCTGCCCAGTGGAGGGAGCCAAAAGACTGGGGGCACAGCATCACAAGGAATATGGGTTTTCTGAAAGGGAACAAAGATAAGTGTTTCCACATTCAAGAAGGAAGGCTGATATTGTGGTGTAATGGGTTAAGCCTCAACCTGCAAAGCTGGATTCCTATGTGCATGCCAATTTGAGTCCTGGCTGCTCCACTTCTGATCCAGCTCCCTGCTAATATACCCAAGAAAGCAGCAGAAGATGGCCCAAGTCCTTGAGTCCCTGCACCCTTGCAGGAGATCTGGATGAAGCACCTGGGCCAGCCCAGGCTGTTGTGGCCATTTGGAGAGTTAGCCAGTAGTTGGGAGATTGTGTAACTCTACCTTTCAAATAAATGATTGTGGTTGTTTTGTTTTGTTTATCATTGGGGGAGGGGGAGGGTGGTGGTGTTTGGATGCATTGTGCAGTTGAGCATGGAAAGATCTGCCGTGTAGTAATCAAGCCAGCTTCAGGCATGCTTAGCCAAAGCCTCTGAGGACAATTGAAAGAAGTGGCACTGGAGTACCACTTTCAATGCTGGCATTTTATAGCAGGATGCCAGTATAAATCCTGGTTGTTCAACTTCCAATCCAGCAACTATCAGTGCACCTGGAAGGCAGATGACCCAAGCACTTGGGTCCCTGCTGACATGGGCTGAAGTAGCTAGTTTGTCCCATGTAATTCTATCCTGTCTGTTAAAGCACCTCTTTTCCCAAGATGTTTTCATTAGGGACCTGGGGAAGAGTTGTTATGTAAATATGTGTATTAAGTGCAATTTTATTGAGGTGTCATAAACTTCCCAGGTGACTGTGTTTCCTAGTGAAATGGGGTCCTGGGAGTTTTGTTCTCAGACAGTAGCATAAAAGAAGGTGCTGAGCGTATCTCACCTCCCTACTTTTGAGGGTTTTTTTAAATAATTTTTTTTTTAGATTTTTATTTTTATTGGCCAGATATACAAAGAGCAGGAGAGACAAAGAGGAAGATCTTCCATCTGCTGATTGCAGTTTTAATCTTGCTGGCCCTGCTTTGCAGCCAGCTCTGTGCTTGAGGCCTGGGAAAGCAGTTGAGGATGGCCCAAAGCTTTGGGACCCTCCCTACTTTCTATCCTTCTGCTGTCCTCCTCTCTCTCTCTCTCTGTGTTTGCTTTCTTAGCTTTTAAGTAAACTTTCTCATTTTGTGCACCATATGTACCTGTAAGTAAAATGCTGTTAAGTAGAAGGCAAAGACTGGGATTAAAAATTGAATGCCATTTTTCCCACATCACTGCCACCCCTGTGGGGAACCTGCATGGAGATCCTAGCTCCCGGCTTCAGCCTGGCCCTGTCCTATCTGTTGGTGATCTCTGGGGAGTCAACTGGCAGATGGTAGATCCTCCCTCTCTCTCCTTCTGCCTTTCAAATGAATAGCTTAAAAACAACAACAGACTTAGCACTTGATAGAAGTGTGAGAAAACAGGGCTGTGCCAGAGCAGAGCAGTTGATTTGGAGCAGAAGGGCAATTTTAGGGAATCTTAGGGGGAAAAGGCCAGATGATACAGGGAGAGAGGAACCCAGGACCAGGAAGAGCAAGAGCTGTGAAGAACAGCTACATGGGCACATGATGGACGCGAAGTTCAGGCCTTCATCCAGGAGTCACGCACGGAAGGGTCACCCCAGAGCAGGGTCAGGCCAGAGAGGGAAGGCTAACAATAGGGTCTGTTTACCTGGAAACAATGAAATGGCCTCCGTACCAGGACAGCAACCTTCCCATGACCCATGGAGAAAGCCTGCTCCCTGTTTTCCCATCAGAGAAAAGTCACCAGCTGCTGCTTCGTTTCACAAAGAAGCATCCTCTACTTGCACCTGTAGCTCTTTTCTTTTCCTTTTGGACACATTGCAGACAGGATGATTGGAATGCAGAGCCCTCCTTAGCATTCCCCAAACTGCCTCTTCAGGACCCTCAGTGACCTTGGTGGCGCTAACTCCCATGGTTGGATTCTCAAATCTCTTGCCTTTTCCACAGCATTTAGCACACTTGATCGGTAGTCCTGCCTTATAACACTTTCTGCGTGGGCGTGGCTCAGCGCCTAGTGGATGAAGTCCTCGCCTTGCACATTTCAGGATCTCATAGAGGCTCTGG